CGTAACAACAAACGATGAAATAAAAATGACTACTGTTAAAAAAATTATAAAGATCTAGTAAATAAATTAATCATAGTTCTTATAATAACCAAAATATAATAACCAATATATAATGACCAAAATATATTGCAAATAATATGACTAAATACATAAATAAAATATAAACAGAAAAATACTGAGAAAATCAAAAAAAACAAAAGTTACAACAAACATGCAAACAAAACAAAAAATTACGTTAAGTTTTTTTGGCAAAAGAAAATAAAGAAAATAATAATAATTCATGTTAGAATAAAGGATAAAGTGAACTGGGGCCAAATGGAATAGTTAAGGATTTTAACTATTAATTTTTTACAGAAAAAAGATTTTTACTTTTTTTTTTTTTTTAAGTTGTAGAGCTGTATTTAAGTTTATAAAAATCTAACAATTTTTTTGTAAAGTTTTTTATGAAACTTTATTTAATTTAAAAAATATTTATTCTACTCTACACTGATATAAGGGGAGAACGAAATACGCAAATATAAATGTAATTAAAACAACACTTTATTTAAAAGACAAAAAGCAATCAATAATAACAATTAAAAAATCAATCAATAATAACAATTAAAAAAATCAATCAAATAGAATAAACTTTTTTATTCTTGTGATGATGTTGAGTCGTTTAGAGGTACTAGAGGTTGAGTTGAGTTTTCACTTGTGCGGCACTTTTTGGTGCAATAAAACTCAGCGCCTTTTACGTATCGCTTTGGTATGCATGTTTGACATATTCATTTATTAAAACCATTTTATAAAAGCAGTAAGTAAAAGTCATTTAAATTCCGTTAGAAAAATTCATTCATTAAAATTTATACAAAAAATTTATAGTTGGAGATTTATTGGTCACTTAAGACCTAATAAAAAAAAGCCGCTTTTAAGAAATAAGCTATTGCTTCGTATTTATTTATTAGCGTATACTTGAATACAAAATATTTTCTATTTAAGGGCTAGCCCACATGGGTTTATTTAGAGCCCATATATGTGGTTAAAAAAGCTTTAAATTCCATCTTATTTTCTAAATTGAAATGCTATCCGATCGCGCGATAGTGAGGCAATACGAATCGTAGAAAATCAGTAAAAAAATTTATCGCTTAACTCAACTTAGCCGCATGTTTATTTAAAGACTTGGTCCATAAATAATCATGTGTCTTTGCTTTCTCATTTTCGTTAAAAAACGCCTACGTATTTTACGACATAAAAAGACAATAAATACATACAACTCGTCGAATGAGAATTATAGGGTTCTATCTTGTTTTAAGTTGAAAGAATTTAACAATCAAAGTTTTAATTAATAATTAATAATAAAAACAGTATAATATATATAATATACACACTTAAAAAATGTTAATATATATAATATAGTTCATTTTTTAAGTGTCTATATTATATATCATTTTTTAACTTAAATTTATAATTATAATGAATAACAGCTGTAAAACATGCATTAAATAAATATTGAAAGTTAAGTTCTCACAACATAATAAAAAACAGATAGTACCATATAATTCTAATGTGACGAACTTTTAGTATCTTCTTTGTTATCGTTTTCGTGTTCGAAAAAAAACATACACTAAAAATATTAGTCCTTAATCGCCCTTAGCGTTTTCTTGTTCCTGTGTTTCCTAAATGACAGATTTGTCTTTCTTTATGCTATCTTTTTAACTCTAATATATCTGCCTTTTACTAAAACATCTTCTTTTTCCCCAAAACTCTCAACCCGTACTAAGACCAGGGTGCTCAGAAAGAAGAATACTGGTTAAATGTGCGTGCGATTGTATGAGGTGCTCCGCTAGGCAATTAGCTGGAGGAGTATAAAACACAATACCGCACTTACTTTATGAAAACCCCCTTACAAAGCTTTTCTCAAATTTTAAACTAAATTCAAATAAACTCTTTTTCGAAAAATCTTCTTTTTATTTAAAGTCCAATCATTTTAAAAAATCCGTAACAATGCTATTAACGTAATAGTGGTAGTAAAAGAGTTTTAAATTGTATTTGAAAATTATTTCTTTAAATATCAATGAAAATTTAAACAAAAGTCAGTTTAAAAAACTGAAAAATATTTTTTTTTAATGCATAAAAAAGTTTTTGAAAGCGTGTACGCTAATTGAGTTTTTATAAACCATCATGCAAAAATGCAAATAAAATGGCACATCTTGAAGAAGACTTTTCAAAGTCAAAGTAATAGTTAAACTTAAGGTTTAAATTTACTTTTTATAACTGTCTATTACTTTTATTATTCTATTATTTAAATTCTGTGGTATATTTATATTTAAAAAAAGAAAAAAAAAATTTATCAATGTTTATTACTGTGTACCTTTTTCTTTCTATATTTGATTTCCTGTTTTACTTCTATAAAGCCAGACTCAAATCACATATCTATGACTATATATTAAATTATATATATCTAATTTAAAAATAAGTAAATAAGTATTCAAAATAATATAAAAAATTTAAATAAATAAAAAAGTGGGTCCACATGAGCAGCCCACTAGGCCCCCACATGGGCCCAAGCTGGACCAAAGCTGGGCCACCACATGGGCCCCGCATGAGCCCAAGCTGCCCACTTGAGCCCAACATGACTTGCTGGCTGGGAGTACATATATATATATATATATATATATATATATATATATATATATATATATATATATATATATATATATATATATATATATATATATATATATATATATATATATATATATATATATATATAGTATATATATATATATATATATATATATATATATATATATATATATATATATATATATATATATATATATATATATATATATATATATATATATAGTATATATATATATATATATATATATATATATATATATATATATATATATATATATATATATATATATATATATATATATATATATATAAGTATATATATATATATATATATATATATATATATATATATATATATATATATATATATATATATATATATATATATATATATATATACTAGCTGGATTGACCCGTAAAAATACGGGTCTTTGTAATTCTATTCCACACAAACCTTTTCCCTTATTTTCTTAATCTAGCTGTCCGTATCGGTAAATACAGGTCTTTTCTTCTACTTCTATATTTATTTATTCCACGCCAATCATTTCTTTACTTGTTCCTTATTTACTTCAATATTTTTTAGTAAACGGTGGAAAAAAATTCATCAAAAAAATTTGCTTTGAGAGCAAAAAAAAACTTTAACATACGCACTTTTTCCGCATACCTATATAGCTTATTAAACCCCGTTTATTTATTTTTTTTAAAAAAAATTCTGAACTAAACTACTTTCTACATTTAGACCAGCCATGGACCATGGTTTATGGTCGCGTCCTAGCCATATTCAATAGTTTACTATATTTATTATTATTATATGCTTAGTTTTGAATAATAACGGTCTTTTATAGTTATCTTTGTATTAGACGGAAACGGTAATGCAATTCTTTAAAACGTTAGTCGCTTAAAGCGTCAAAAGTCATGCAAAAAAATAAATTATAAATTTTGTGGTTTAAAAGTTGAAGAATTAATAATATTATAACAAAAAGTTTGGTAATTTTTAAACGTTATTATTTAGCTCTTACTTATGGTATTTATTTTGTTTTCATTTTACATTTTTAAAAAAATGTTGAAGCGCCTAACTACATGCATAACTTTGATAGCTCACAAGTTAAGTGCGCTGTCATCAGATTCGCTGTGCAAGGCTTCAAATCCGCGCCTAAAAAATCTCAATACATTTTTTTTAATCTGGCTATATTTATAGCAAAAAATTAAATATAACAAAAAACCTTTTAATTGCTTTTTTTTTTCCCTGCCTCGACTGCAATACCATGTGGAGTAGCAGGACGGTTTTATCAATTTTTTTTTTTATTAGGTTTTAGGACCTTTTTTTTAAGACTATCCGTAGCTTATTAGGACCAATTATGTGAGAACAGTATCAAAATCGTGACACACACGCAACAAATTTTCGCCCCGTTTATTGGTGTTTTTAGAAATCCAAAAAATATATAAAATATAAAAAGAAAAAACGGTTAAAGTGTATAACATTTAACTTATTTAACTTCACAAATATTTTGTAATTTAAAGAAAAAAATCGCTGGTGGTAAATTTGAACCACGACTATTACGTTCAGAAGCTTAGCGCGCTAACCACTCGGCCATGCTGACACATCAAATATCGAAATTTTAAAAATATATAAAAATTGTTTTTAACGGAATTGCTGTAGATCAAAAATTAAGGAGAGGTTGACGCAATGCAATTTTTAAGTCAAAGTCAAACTATAAAACTTGAAAAATGTTTCAGTATGTTTTATCATTACTTAATTACGTACGTTAGATATTTGCATACACGTTTTCTTCTAAAAAAAGTGCTGTGACTCTTTCTACTAACACTACTATTAAGTTCGGCAATATTATATAGAAGAAGATAGATAGATTATAAAATAGTTTTTCACTTAAAAAGACAAACTCTATTCCACATTAACCTTATCTCTATTTCTCCCTCAAATATTATTTAGTGAACAATAGATTATGTGCTAGAAAAAAAAAATTCACATATGCACCTTTTCCGTATATTTATATTTAGAGCTTAACATGAAGAAGGTAAATCATTTAGTTCAAGACAACCTGCCCAAACCCAAATCCTCTGTTGATTTATGCACACTCACTGTGGCTAGGCCTGTAAAATAAGTAGCTAGGCAAGTCAAATAAATTAATTTGATCTGTTTTTCTGCATAAAACAAAAACAGAAAATGTGAAGTACTTGATAAAAGGAACTGTAATATTGGATTTAGTTAATTCAATACAAAGTGATAGGAAACTGCAAAATAAGGTAACAACGTGAAAATTATTCAAATACTAATTTACAACAATTTGTATTGCGTTTTATTAAAATAGCTTTATTAAATGGTATGAAGATTGATGATTCTTCTTCTTCGCCTTTAGAAAATGGTTAACGATTTGAAAGACTTTTAAATTGATTATAAAAGCATTATCTAAAAATGAAATAAAATCATTATTGATAACACTGAATGCACATTTATTTGTTTTATGTTAATTCATTTGAGAAATGAAAAATACGAACCAAAATTTAGTAAAAATTAGTTCGGCAATATTATATAGAAGATTAGACACTTACTTTGTGAGAGTGCTTTTTTAAAAGTCTCTAATATTTGGTTGGAAGGCTGGAATAACTCTTTTTTTAAAAAAATTCAGTTTTATCAGCATTGCTAAAGATAAAAATTCTTACTGACACAAAAAAATTAGGCATTTTTTCTTAAAATATTTCTTGGCTTTTAGTGAATGATTAGGAGTAAGTTTCAGTAATGAAGCTACCCAATAATCATTTTTAACGATAGACACCAACGTGAAGGTAAGCCAAGCTGTCTATCAACACAAAACATCACAACAACATTACAGGATGACAAACAATAACACCAGTAGTGTAGGCAGGATTTTTGTTGTTTCAGATATATATTTAGAAGCTGTTGAAGAGTTTAACTTTGTTATGTCTAAAAAAATTCAGGTTAAGAAAAACACTTTTTTTAAACATTTGTTCCTAAGCTTTAAAAACATCAATTTTTTGCAAAGTATTTTAATTCTATAAACGTGAATACACTTAAGTTTGGTTGAAAATGCTATCTGAAGCATCAAAAGACCCTGCCTATGCTACTGAATACACATAGCATCAAATATTTGTACATAACACATTTGCACATAACACAAAATATTCAGATTATGTGTTTCCAGAATAATTAAAAAAGCTAGACAACACAACCTAGCTCAACACTTGTAACACCGCTTGGCACTAAACGCTGCCAAGTAACACCACAATTTAGTAACACCGCTTGGCATTAAGTGCCAAGTAACACCACTAATTAGTAACACCGCTTGGCTAGCAAGAATCACAATCTTGCACTACACGTTGCCAAGTAACACCACTTTTCACATGGAAACAACTTAATATAAACTTGTATAAACTTAAGCACATAAATATAAATAAAGATATATAAACGCATATAAACACATTCATTTATATACACATATAGCAAAAAAAAAAAAAAAAAAACATACAAAAAATATAAAACACATATAACACATAATATACTTGTCAAAATTATAAATTAAGAACATTTGTAAAGACAACATTATTTGTGTAATGTTTGTTAAATGACGTACCTTGTAATGGATGTTTATCAACTTTGAAAAACAAACTATTAAATGATCTTGTTCTTGAACATGCAACATATAATTGGCCGTGTGAAAAGCAAGGTTTTTTGAGGTAAACACCAACTTTTTCAAATGTTTGACCTTGACTTTTATTTATGGTCATTGAGTATGCTAACCTAACTGGAAACTGACGGCGTTTAAGTGTAAAAGGTAAATTTGCATCTGATGGAGCTAATTGAACTCGAGGAACAAATACCCTGTTACCAGCTGATACACCTGTTAAAACCTCACCATCAATATAATTGTTGTGTAATGCACGCACCATCAAACGGGTTCCATTACAAAGTCCACCTTTGAGATCTAAATTTCTAAGTAGCATTATAACAGCACCAATTTTTAATTTTAGGCAATGAACAGGCATACCTGATGGAGTCAAACTATTTAAAAACTCGACTGGAAAATTATTAATTTCATTAAGATCATCAGTATCAATGCTATCTGAACTTAAATATGTTTTCACATCACCGGGTAAGCGATGAAGGACTTCTTCATTTATTGCCAATGAATCAACATTTGTTGGCGTTAAAATAGCACGTTTTGCATAATCACCTTCTTCTGCACCACCGAAAATCTTCTCCACAATAGATTCATTATCACTGAGAAAGCACTGCTCAGGTATTTCAATACACCCTCGCAAAGGATCTTCAGGCTTGACAGGTAATGTTCCACTTCCAAGCTTTAAAAGCCATTGAGAAAATTCCTCTTCTTCTATCTGAACCCTCATGTTTACAGTTAATGAGAACCTTTGCACATATTGCCAATGTTCAGAACATTTTAAACATGATTCTATAACTTCTGCTGGTCGACCTCGCTTCACAACTGGAAGTATTTGTCTGAAGTCTCCACCCATAAGAATAACCTTACCACCAAAAGGAAAGTTGTTATTACAAATATCTTGTAATAGCTTATCAATGGCACTCAAAGCATATTTGGGTATCATAGATGCTTCATCAAGTAAATACAAACTGATTTGTCTCAGGAATCTACCATGAATAGAGTTTGGAGTTACATTACATGTGCTAGTTTCCAAAATTGGAACAGGAAGTTTGAATAAGCCATGCATTGTGCACCCATTTTTGAGAAGAGTTGCAGCTATTCCTGTCCATGCAGCTGTTGCAGTTCTAATATGCCTGCTCTGTGTTTCAGAAATTAAATAGTTGTAAGTAAATGTTTTACCACAACCGGCAGGCCCATCCATAAAAAACAACCTTGAATGCTTATTTTCATTAGTAGGTTCCACACTTAGTGCAGCAAGGATCGCATCAGCTACATTACGTTGATTATCATTCAATAATGGTCTAACTCGGTTTGCTTCATCAATAAACACCTGAACATCTTCATCATCATTTTCTGGGACATTATCTAAAAACTGATCTAAAGCTGGCAAATTATAATCAGCTAAGGTTTTACCACTCTGATTAATTATAGATTCAATTTGACGAAGAGCTGCCTGCTCAGCAAGTACGACTGGCATTGAATGGTGTATGTAATCCTCAACCATATAATTTTTAAATGTATTCCAAAGGTGTAAAGGATCATCAGGTTCACATAAAGTTAATATGATGCAAAACAGTAGCCTAATTTGTTTAGGCATCCGAGTTGCAGCAGCTTCAATTAATGTATTTCTCCACTCAATGTCATCTTGCAATAAACCTAAATGATAACATGCTTCACGAAATGTATTAAAAACAGTACCATGAACAGTACGCAAATCCTCGAAAGACTTTGCACCTTTTACATGCAAAAGTAACAACCTGAGAAAAAATAATTCGCAAAATGAACTGACTTTATACATTCGAACAACCACCTTATCACTACCTCTTTGTCTTACTTTCCACATGCAATTTTTACCAAAAACAAAGTGATATGGAATTTCAACATAAGAATACTGACGTGCTTCATTATTTTCAGCATTTAACTTAAACCAAGCGGTTAGGTGAGTGTCACGCTGTGCTGCACGATCTATAGCTACTTGTTCTTCTCCTTCGTTAAAATATACTCTCTGATTATCAGGAAGGTGGATTTGAAGGCGGATAATAGTATGTGACATATCACTTATGGAATACTCATATATTCGCCAAAGAGCCTCTGGGGCGGAAACAAAGCGACAGTCTAAATATGTGTTAATTTCATCATGGTCAACACTTTCATTAATTACCACATTCGCACAATCATGCCCCTTATAGACATATTTGTATAAATACTTCACTGACTTAATAGACATGCAAGCTTCAACATTAATGTGGGCTTGGTATTTTTTTGATAACCAGGGGTTATAGGGTACGACCCATCGATTATCAACTTGGTTACCTTTTATAATGACTACTCTACCATTATCTAAACGCCTGTAGTTAGGATAACCATTGAAAATTGCAACAGTGCAAGGATTAAACTCTTTAGGAAATTTTTTTGTGCAAACTCCATCTTTCATGCAAGGAGAATTGGGATTTAAAATCCCACATGGTCCATGAATCATACATGTTTTTACAATTTCAAAAAGTTCAGGATCAACAGTTTGATCTGGAATTTCAGCTGATATTAAACTATCAATATCCTCTGCTGTTTCTAGCTTATCATCGTTTACAAAGTGTAATAAAATATGCACATGTGGCAAACCACGTTTTTGAAACTCAATAACCTGTACATGACTTACAACTTTGCCTAAGACTCCATGTTTAAAAATATCACCTAAGAAGCATTTAAGTTTCATCTTAAATACGCGACAAACTAAATCAGGCCTGTCAGTTGCGCTCTCACCTGGATTTAAATTTTCTGTAATTTCTCTCCATTTTGAATTACAGGTAAAAGTAATAAAAAGATCTGGTTTACCATATTTCTTTATAATTGCCATTGCATCTTCAAAATTTTCTTTTAAAGCTCTTGGACTTCCAACATATGAGGATGGTAGTATAACAACACGACCCGGTCTTACATTAAGGTTATTTGCAACATTATTTACATACTCATGTAATGTATCGTATTGTTCACTTCTAAGTTTGTTTTGGTTATTTCTGATAAAAGCAAGGCGCTGTCCTTCAATCTTGACATATGCATCAACAGCATACTGTTGAAAAAGTTTCTTACCATAAAATATAGGACTGAACGTTTGTCTAATAGAAAGCCTATAGTTGTAGTACTGAGATAAAGTAACACGATTTCGAACACGTGTTGCTCGGTCAGGATTGTGCTCTAGTTGATCATGCCATCCTGCATCACCTCTTGGAAAAAATATTGGATATATCATTGGATCTAGATTTGCAGACATACTTGAAATTGTTTTTAAGGGTTGACCTCGAGGATAAATAACAACTTCTCTAGATGGAGGTGGAGCACCATCATTTCCTACAAACACAATGGCAACCTCTTCATGTGATGGAAGATTGTATCGACGTCTATCACAACCCTCAAGCAACGACATTTTGACAACAGAAATCGGTCGACCTTCTATAGCAGCTTGACGAATTTCTGCATCTTCAACTTCTGCCATGTTTTTAAATGCAAGCGCATATGGGTTCTCCTGATTAATTATAGTCTGCAAAAGTTCCATTAACTCACGTATGCAACAATCATTTTGCTCCATTCGAAAGTTTAAAGCAGTATTAGGATCATAAACATATAATTGACAATAAGCAGGTGGATCCCCTTGCTGATGTCTTAGATTACCAATACGATGCATAATTTGCCCACTAATTCTAAAACAGGGTGGACCACGATTTGACAGAGGATCTATTGTGGCTATGAATGAAGCAAAAGATAGACAGGCATTATAATTTCGTATATGCTTGAAAAAATTTTGATTCAAAGCACGATCAACATGGTTGCCTGTCATTAAATCAACCATCAGCGGTGGATAAGGTGAAAGTGGAGGTAAGACAACCTTTCCCGAATGGCAGCACAAAAAATGTGTTTCATTTAAAAATTTTTTAGCACCACAATACTGACAATTATGGTTCATTTCTCCTAGGTAATTACTCTCTATAAAAACATTATTTCTTGCTATGCAATGCATTTCACGCCTAAATAATACTCGTCGAGCCTCATTTCTTTCATTTTGGCGACGATTAACTTCTTCACGTCTAGCCTCATTCCTTTCATTTTGGCGACGATTAATTTCTTCTCGCCTAGCCTCATTTCTTTCATTTTGGCGACGATTAATTTCTTCTCGTCTGGCCTCATTTCTTTCATTTCGACGATTTCTTCTATTTTCAGCTCTTAGGTTACTTGACATAATTGAGAAATTATTTATGTTTGATAAAACTTTATCTTAATAATTTTTTGCTATACTAATCTAAAATGAACAAAAACAATAAAGTGCTATTTATCAGTTTAAACCTATGAAACTATGTGTATAGCATCTAATAAAATTTGTGAACAAAAGATATAACTAAACTGGTTTGAAACAGAGAAAAAGCCAGAAGTATCTTGTAATAACATACTATATTGTAAGTAATAAAACAGTATTTTTTGAAACAAATAAAAAATTTTATTATTTTAAAAGTCATATTAATGGTAATATTGAAAAGCAAAATTAGTTACATATTTTTAAATGACATGCCAACAATTGCAAACATGTTGCATCATATAGACCACATGTGGCTGACAACTGATTTTAAATACTATTTTATAATATATCTAAAGAGAATAATGTAAAGAGATTAATATGTGTATAGTGCATATATTAGACATATTAAACAGATATCATAGAAAAAGAAAAACTTTAAATATATTTACCCAATCTTTCAAAAACTATATAACACTTAACAAATAAAAGTTAATACAAAAGAAAATTTAGTATTATTAAAATTAAAAATGAGGATAAAAAGATGTAAAAACGTAAATTAATAAAAAAACTTATAGACAAATTATTAAAAACTTTTATAACATAAGAGTTCTTTGTTAGTTTAGGATTTAAAAACAGAATTAAAAATCAAAAAAATAAAATAGTAAAAGTATATAAATTAAAATAATAAAAAATTGCGAAATTAAAAAAACATTTTTTTAAAAATTCAATTTTCTTTATAAATAAAAAAGAAGATAATTCTACCAGTAGTTTAAAAAAGCTACTGGTAGAAATTAAAAGAGTTAAATCGCTTTCCAGCACCCCTCCTTCTACCAGTGGTGTCATATGGGGCTTCTCTCCTCCATCTAAAGGAGGGATCATCTCCCCCATATTGACTCCACCGGTAAAAAGCTCTTGAAGTTATTGGACCTGGGTGCTGGGAGCGATATTGCAGGAAATCTTGATATGATGCTAAAAAACAAAAACAAAAAAAGAAATAAATTTGAATACAATACTGCACAAAACAACCAATAAAAATATTATCTAAAACTATTTAGACTTCAAAAAAAAAAAAAGTTATGACAAAAAAAATAAATAAATAAAGTAATGTAAAAATATAGATATGCAATGTTTAAATTTCATATATACCTACACAAATACACATAACACCCACAAAACTGCATAAGTATGCAAAACAGATTACCTGATGGTCCTGCAGATATTGTTGCTATTATGGAAATAAATAAAAAAGTATATGAACTAACACATATATTAAACAGTTATGTAATTGCATACAAACATGAAAAAAGTAATGTTTAGGTTTCAATACACATAACACTGCAAAAATACGGAAAAACTGCATAAGTATGGAAAACACATTACCTGGTGGTACTGCAGTTGATACTGTTGCTATTGCAGAAATAAATAAAAAAGTATATAAACAAACACATATATTAAACAGTTATGTAATTGCATACAAACACGAAAAAAGTAATGTTTAAGTTTTAATACACATAACACTGCATAAATACAGAAAAACTGCATAAGTATGGAAAACACATTACCTGGTGGTACTGCAGTTGATACTGTTGCTATTGCAGAAATAAATAAAAAAGTATATAAACAAACACATATATTAAACAGTTATGTAATTGCATACAAACACGAAAAAAGTAATGTTTAAGTTCCAATACACATAACACTCATAAAACTGCATAAGCATGCAAAACACATTTAAAAAAAATTAAGTTTCAATACACATAAAACTCATAAAACTGCATAAGTATGCTAAACAGATTACCTGATATTATTGCTTGAGGTGTTAATGTATAGACAAAAAAATAAAGAAATAAAGTGATGTGCAAAATAAGATATGCAATCTTTAAGTTTTTCATTAAATTACATCATTACCTGATGGTACTGCAGATGATATTGATGCTACTGTGAAAGTAAAAAAAAAAAAAAGTGTATAAAGTAACATATGTTAAACATTTATGTAATTGCATGAAAACAGTAATGTCTAAGTTTCAATACACATAAAACCCATAAAACTGCATAAGTATGCTAAACAGATTACCTGATATTATTGCTTGAGGTGCTAATGTAGAGACAAAAAAATAAATAAAGTAATCTGTAAATTAACATATGCTATCTTTAAGTTTTAATACACATAACACTCATAAAACTGCATAAGTATGCAAAACACATTACCTGATGGCACTGCAGATGATATTGATGCTATTGTGAAGGTAAAAAAAAAAAGTGTGTTAAGTAACATATTTTAAACATTTATGTAATTGATAACAAATATGAAAAAAGTAATGTTTAAGTTTCAATACACATAAAACCCATAAAACTGCATAAGTATGCAAAACACATTACTTGATGGTACAGCAGGTGATATTATATATAATTTAATTTAATTAATATAATTGAAATACTACTAATCAATTTACTGATATTTTTTCTATAGCATTGTTAAAAATGGTCATATTCTGAAAGGTAAAGAAATTTATTGAAAAGAAAGTTGCACAAAAGAAAAAAAAAAACTAAATAAAAGTTATTCGTTTCAAAAAACGTTTTACGAAGAGTTTTTCCAAACAATTTTATTTTTAATTGGGTTTTTTTTGAATTACGTCATAAGCATATTAAGGCGTTTTGAAAAACAGTTGCTGCATATATTTATAGTAAAAAAGTTAATGTAGCAAAATAAACTTTTAATTGTCAAAAGAAAGTTTTAAAGTTTTATCTAGCTACAGGTTTTTTTTTTTTTTTGCCTCCACAGCAGCATCTTATGAAGTAGCAGGGCTGTCTTGTTAAGTTTTTTTTTTATTAGGTTTCAGACAACTTTTTTTTCAGACCATCCGCAGCTTATTAGGACTAAATACATTCGCACATTAATAACATAAGTGTCTCAATTATCATAGATACGCAACATATTTTTTCTCCTGGTGATGTTTTTTTTTTTTTTTAATGTTTTATGAAGTTTTAGCATTCTTAAAATCTTTTCTTTTGTGAGTGCATAATATCGTTACGTTACATATGTTTGTATATAATCTTTATAAAACTTCGAAAGTATTTTGTATTTTAAAATAATTAAAAAAATTAAAAAAAACAGCCGCCTTTGGTAGGAGTCGAACCTCTAGTTGCTTGTTCAGAAGTTCGCCGCCCTATCCATTCAAGCTACGCCGGCATATCGTCAAGTGTAGATTTTATAAAAATGTAGTAATTTTTTTGAGGAAAAATATGTTAGATCAAAATTAAGGAGAGGTTGACGTAATGTAATTTTCAAGTAAAAATCAAACTGTAAAACGTGATAAATGTTTCAGTATGTTTTAACATATGCTTTAACATTACTTAGTTTAAAGTTTACGTACGTTAGATATTCGTTCACGTATTCTTATAGTGCTGCGACTCTTTCTTGCTAATACCTCGGTTGCAATGGCTGCCAAGGGTTTCGTGTCAAATACGCTCCAAGGGACACTACTATTAAGTTTGGCAATATTATATAGAAGATATATATATATATATATATATATATATATATATATATATATATATATATATATATATATATATATATATATATATATATATATATATATATACATTTTAGGGTTCTCCCTGTTTATTTTACAATTACAATGTTGTGAATATTTTATTATTCCAGATGTTTCCCAGTTGGCTTTTGTAACATTATTTTTATCTTCTTGAATTCGTATGGAAATCTTTTTTCTTGTTTTACCAATATTACATTCACCACATGTGCAATTAAGTTGGTACAGTCCTGTATGACTATTCGGAGGTAGTTTAAACTTGTTACGACAAAGTATATTGATTAATCGATTACCAAAACGGAAAACTGTTTTAACGCCAATTTTACAAAATTCTTTTCTTAGAGCAAGGTTTAAATTTGGGACCCATGGTAAAATAATTAGATTTTGCTATCAATTTTTAGAAAACAAGATGGATTTGTGGAGAATTTACAATTTTTAGCAATAGCTGAATACTGTTTATAGGAATGTCCATTTTCAGAAAAAATCTTAATAAGAAAATTAATTTCATTTTGAATGTTATGTTCTGAACAAATAGACCTATTGGATTATAGTTATTTTAAATATATATTTTGGTTCCAATAAAAATAACACTAATACGGAGATCTATTAGTTTATGAATGTCTACTAAAGATAGTTTAGATTGTTGTATCCTAGGAAAAGTATAAGTTCTATAGAACTTCTTTAAACTTTTGAAGCATAAGACCTATAGAAATTCTATAGAATTTTATAAAATATCTATTAATTATTTCTATTTCTATAGACCAATTTCATGTGACGTATAAAATAAAATGTAAACAATATGTGTGCGCATACTGGCAGGCAAAATAATTTTAAAGATCGTTTTAACTATTGTCAACATTACCTATAAACACAGCATTTAAAATATTAAAATCATATTTATCATTAAATAAGTAATGAATATTGCTAGCTTAGTTGAGTTAAATCTAAAAAATTTTAATGAAAGTGTTTGGCAGTAAGACATTACAAAGTTGCCTGACACTACTTGGAGAGACGTGATAGGTTTTTGATAGTGAATTTACAAAAGAAAATACTGAGGCATAAAAGTCATTGGAAGCATTTAAAACATACTTTTTGTGTTGCCACGTGCAAAATTGTTGGTATACTCCAAGTATCGATAAAGATTATTGTTTTATAAAAACTAAGGTTATATATTATAGACATTGATTTCTAAACTGATTTGTATGCTCCTAATTATTAGGAACATACAAATAAATTATTATTAGGCTTACATTATTAAGATATAAATAACATTAAACAATTTATGTTCACAATCAAGTAATTAAGTTACACTATACATTTAGTGGGAAGAAATTAAAGCAACATTTCATTTTCTCAAACTTTGTTTTAACTAAAAACTAGTTCTCAAAAATATTGAGAACTATTTTTTATATTAGATCAAAGTTGATGAATATTTTATTGTAATTATTATTTTAAAAAGATATTGTAAATGTTATTTTAAAAAGATTTTCATATTTTACATGCAATAGATCTTTATTTAGGTTGGTTAGCATAAATAGTTAGCATAAAGAGTTGCATGAATGAAGTATGGGTTTGTTTTCACAAAGGCGGGTGGATTAAAAGAGCCAGCTGTACTTGTCCAGTAGGACTAGGTTAAGTCTGCTCACATATTTCAGCTCTACTTTTTAAACTTGAGGCTGCTGTGCACCACTGTTTAAATAGAGAGGATGCATCTTCAAGTCAGCTTTGTTAACACCTATTAAGAGCAATGAATTTTAGCACAAATAAAAAAGGGCAGAGTTACCCTCATTTAGTAATCTTGTTCTAAAAAAAAACAACGTAAAATATCAACCATGTTTAAAGCAAATGGAAACTACTCGTATATTGACCCATCACATTGCATATCAGTAAGCGACTTTAACAATTTATGTCAATGCAATCCTAAAGCTGTTATATTTACTAGCATAGATTGTAATAGCAATCAGAAATCAAGTGATACTGAGTCAGGTTC